AACCAGAGCCACCACGAACAATTGGGTGTAAATGGCTAAGTGGGATACACAGAAGGTGGAAGGGACAGATAGAAGGAGGGAGGGAAGATAGAAGAATGGAGGAATACTTAGTAGGTGAGTAGTTGGGTGGATGAATCATTGGGGGGGAAATTATGGGAAGAAGGGAAAAATAAGAAGAAGGAAGGAAGGAGAGATGTATAAAAAGACCTATAGAAGGGTGGAAAAATGAATGGGTATGTGGTTGATGTGTCGGGTATAGATGAATGACTTGGTGTGTTGATGGATGATATTCTGTGATGAGCTGAAAAGGCAAAGGGGATTAGGAGGGAAGGTGGGAGGAAAGGAAAGTGGATAGACAGATGAAAAGATAGGTGAAAGTATGAATAGATTCAAGATGAAAAAAATGGATGACTGTGTGGGCAAGTAGGTTATGGATGAATGAAATCCATGGATTTAGTGAGCACAGATGGAGAGATGAAAGGATGGATTGACGGATAGAAGGATGGATGGATGGATGGATGGATGGATGGATGGATGAGTAAATTAATGAATTCAGCCTGTGGGGTGGAAGGAAGGGAGGGAAAGGAAAAAGGGAAGGGAAGGTAAGAATGTTGATAAATGGATACATGAGTAGTTGGATTCACAGCTGGATGAAAAGGGAGAGAAAATAGAAAAAATTATAGTGGATAGATTACATGGATGGATGGGATGAGTTGAGGGGTAACAGGGTGGAAAAGGGTAAAGATGAGTGTGAATAGAGATACGTGATGAATGGATGAATGTGGTTCAGCTGGAGGAACAGCGAAAAGAAGGGATGGTGGATGGCTTGCAGGATGAATAGATGTATTGCCACATTGGGTCAGAGGATAGATGGATGATTGACAGGTAGAATTGGTGAGTAAAGTGGAGAAAGTTACTGAGAAAACGAGGTTAGATGAATAGTTAAGCGAATTGATGTATAAGATAGGTGGGGATGGGATGAGGAGAAAGGGAGGAGGCAGCATAATGAACAGATATAAACACAGATGAAAGGAGGATTGGGTGACTATCTGGATGGGTTGAAGGGAATAAAGGAGGATGGATTGACGGATAAGGGAGAATGGATGGATGGGTGGGTGGATGGTGGACGGATGATGGATGAATGGATGGAATGGTGGGTGGATGGATGGATGATGGATAGATGGTGAATGAATGGATGGATGGATGGATGGATGGATGTCACAGCCTCCTGGGCTCAGATCAAGCAGCTGCCATGTCCTCATTACATCTGCACCTCCTCTCCTGCCCACCACCCCTGCCCTAGTTCAAGCTTCATGCTCTCTCGCCTGGACCACCACACCGAGACCCTACCTCCTCTCTGCCTCTCGGCTTCTCTTGTCCCTTTCCTCCACACTGGCTGCAGATTTTATAGCTCTGGTCCCATCTTTCCCTTCCATGTCTTTCACATGATGAAATTCAAACCTCTCACATGGTTTTCCAAATCCTTCACTGCATGGCCTCAGTCTGCCTTTTCAAGACGACCTTTTGCTCCCCAAAGAAGATGGGGGCCTCTCTATTCCTCCCAAATAGCCCCACCTTCATGTCCTAGTTTATGTTCTTTTCTCCAACCTGTCCCTTCACCCATCCTTCAAAGCCCAGTGAAAATGCTGTGTTCCCCCAGAAGCCTCCCGCACCCGACCCCAAGCTCACCCCAAACCGGGAGTGAAGCATCCTTTTTCTGAAACACTGTGGTGCTTATTCCATCTTGCCACGTGTCCGCTGTTCATCCACTCATTCCCCCACCGTTCTCTGACCTCTAGGTTGGTCAGCCCGCCGTGGGCACTGAGACAGCACGATGAAGGGATGGGTCTGATGGGGTGGGCAGCTGTGCCTGGGGCGGGGGGGGCGGGGTCTGTGACGGGGACGGGGGCTCAGCCAGAGGGAGTCAGTGGAGCTTTCTCAGGAGAGACACTGGGATCTTACAAAAGTCCTCAGGCTGAGGGAGGTAGCAGCACGTTGCACACCTAGATGTGCTCAGAGTGGCTGGGGCAGGGCCATTTGGTGAGGCCAGGAACAGGGTTGAAAATGGATCTTGACGGGCCTTGAATGCCAAGATGAGGAGTCTGGTCTTCATCCAGCCAACACTGAGGAGCCAGTGGTCATTATGAGCAGCTGGTTCAGACTGCATGAATGCAGAATTGGTGTTCTGTGTCTGTGCCTTCCTTCCCCAGACGCTAGATTGAGCCAATGAGGCTTCCATCTGTGCCCTGCAGACCCAGCCTGCACTGAACTGAACTCGCCTGTGTGGGCGGAGGAGGCGGATGGACAGGTGGGGGCAGGCAGGGACACACCCACTGGATGCCAGCCTCTGCCCTGCTCACGTGTGCTCACTTGAATGTTGTTTTGTTTCCATTTGTTTTGTGAACGGATGAAGGAATGGGCTCAGTGAAGCAAGGTGGCTTGTCAAGAGCTCACTGTTCTTAAGGGACCCAGCTGGGAATTTAGCCAAGACCTTCTGACCCCAAGTCCATCAGGTGCCCTTGGAAGTGCTCATGACTGGCTTCAAACGGTGCGGGGTACAGTCGGCCAGGAGATGTGCAGCCAGGTGGACAGATGGACGAATTCCCAGGTGCAGGAGCCCGAGCCAGCCCGATCTGTCCTCCTCTCTGCCCAGGACAGAGGCAGCTCACCTTGTATGTCCCTCCCAGGTAAGCCCCGAGCATTTCTGCCCTCAGCTGCCTCCCAGGGAGGACAGGGGGGAGCCGCCCCAGGGTGGAGACATAGTGAGTGCCCTTCTGCCCCTCAGAAGCACCAACTCCTACCCACCTCCCACCCCAGCGCAAATCCTGCACCATTCAGAAACTCGTGACCTACCTACAACCCGCACCAGATGGGCCTGCCCCGAGCCAGCCAGCCGCCCACAGCCAAGCCAAGGGGAGGAGGGGACAGCTTCCGGCCAGGAGCCCATGCAGCCGGACCCGTGTCCACAGGCCATTGGCAGGACACGGCAAGAGGGCACCAGGGGAGGCAGAGCCCCGCCAGCTGCCTTGGCAACTGTGCCCTCTGCTCGGCACCGGCCCCGTGGAGCCATAGCTGTGGTTCGCCTGGAGGCCTTCACTCCCCAATTCCCAGGGACCCCTTGCCTTTGCTGCCTCTGCAGCACACACATGCACACATACTCATGCACGTACAGGCACACATGCACATATACACACCACTCACACATATATGCACACATGCAATTACATACATGCACGCACACTCACGCACACACTTACACACATGCAATTACATTCATGTGCACACTAACACCTACATACACTCATGTACACACGTGCGCACTTGTAAACATGCAACTCACAACTATATGAATGCACACACTCATGCACACATGCAATACACTCACATGCACACACACACTCACACCCCCACACATGCAATTACACACACACCTATATACACTCATGCACACATCTGTGCACACATCACACTTATACACAGAATACACTCACACATATGCACACACTCATGCACACACACATGTACACACCCATACCCATGCACACTCACACCTATATGCATGCACACATTCATGTACACACTCATACCCATGCACACTCACAAGTATATGCACACACACACTCATACCCATGCACACTCACACCTATATGCATGCACACATTCATGTACACACTCATACCCATGCACATTCACAACTATATGCACGCACACACTCATGCACACATGCATACTCGTACTCACACAACACAGTTCCCTCATGGGGCAGCGCAGGCCCTGGTACACAGGCCTGAAGATGAAGGTGCCGATGGCGCTCGGTGATGCTGATGCTGACACTGAGTCAGGAGGACAGAAAAGCCAGGGGGCCAGGGCGTGGATGCCAGGGCAGGGGGGCTCCGTGCACAAAGACGCACAGAAGCAGAGCTGTCCAAGCATCTTTCCTCCCGGGCCAGCCTCTCTGGCCCAGCCCCTCCTCTCCCTCCAGCCCTGTGTTCTGCCCCCACCTTGCTGGGCAGCTGCTATCAGTGAGATGCGCCTGGCCTTGGACACTCAAATCTGGGGACAGTGACGATCTGGCAGAGGTGAGCCAAGCCTTCCCGGGGTGTCAGGGAGGCGGTGGGCAGGGCCTTGAGTCTGCTCCCCTCTTCCCGCTGCTGGGGCTCCCACAGCCCAGGGCTCTTCGGTCCTTACACTTACATTTGCATGGATCTCCCAACCCCAAATGTGAGTGGATCACAGCCTCCCTCCTGCCGTCTCTGTCCATTTCTCTCCACTTTGCCCGTGGGGGATGGCGCCCTGCTCTGCTCCTGGCCAGCTCCTCTCTTGGCCGTGAGGGGCTTTTGGAAGTTGTACCCACTCAGGGTGTGAGGTCAGGGATTTACAGGACATGCTTACACCTCTCTCCCTGGGCTCCTCGGCCCCCAGAGGACGGACTGTCTAGAAGCCGCGTGTGAGACAGAAGGCAGGGAGTAGTGCCTGGTGACCAGAGAGCCTGTCGGCTGTGGCCTCCCTCTGAGTGCCTGCCTGGCATCAGGCTCCCTGCAAGGGGCTTGGATGAGAAGGTCTCCATGGGTCCCTGACTTCACCCTTCCTTCTGTCAGCAGGGGAAGGACTCCAAGGCCCCTGCATCTCTGGGCTGGCTCCATCCCTGTACCCCCAGAGGAGCTGCGTCCAGGCCTAACTCCCACGTCTCCTGCCAGAGGACAGGACACTGAGTCCTGGGTCCCCACCCCACGGACTAAGCCTGCTGTGCAGAGAACCCGGCCCTGAGGGCCCCGAGCCCTATCAAGATACCCTGGAAGCTTCCTCAACTCAGGATGGAGAAGGGCAGCCACTCCTTGCCGGCCCAGAGCTAGCCAACCTCCCTGTCTCTCTGGATCCCGTGAGCAGGTCTCCCACCTGCCAGCCCCCGATCCTCCTGCCCCCTGCTACTCCTGCCACCCATCCCATGCTCCTCACCCCTCCTGCCCCCCCACTCCTCCTGCCCCCTGCCCCCTGCTCACTTTGAGGGAGTAGGCCAGGGCGATGAAGCCCAGGCAGCAGAAGTTGAGGTAGACGAAGTTGAAGATGGACCACAGGTAGTAGTCATTCACCTCGGTGGTGTCTGGGTAGACCTCGATGACCGTCGTGGGGTTCGTCATCGTCTTCTTCTCTGCTAGGTGCTTGCAGGCCTGGGGGGCGCCGGCGGCCCGCACGCTGTCCGTCTTGCTGCTCTTGGACTCCATGGGGAACAGAGTGGGCGCCATGGGGGGCGAGGCCGAGGGCTCAGGGGCGGGGACCGCTGGAGCCTGCAGGGCAGGGGGTTTGGACACACAGGCAAAGCAGCCCTTGGGCGAACCTGCCGGGGGCCTCGGAATCCAGAAGGCCCCGTCCAGGGGGACTCGGGCTTCCTGGGTGCCGTCCGTGGTGCTGGCTGGGGCTCCCAGCAGAGCTGGGCACTGGCGGGGGCCCTGGGCCTGGAGGGAGGGGGAGAGGAAGAAAGAGCTGGGTCCTGCCCACCCTGCAGGGTCCATCTTGGTGCCCTGCATCATCTCCCCTGCAGACCCATAAACAGCCCCAATGGAGACGGAAATCCCCACAAGGCAGCCAGCTGCCAGCCTGCCACCTGCCTCCCCCGCCAGCCCCAGCCACCACCAGTGCCAAAGCCCTTCACAGCAGCCTTGGCAGGAGCAACGGGGGCTTTTCATCACTTTGCCATCTGCGCACAAACATCCACCCACTAACACACAACAGCAACACCCCCCACTCCCCCAACAATGCCTCAACCGACACTCTGTTACACTAAACGGAGCACACCAGCACCCCAAACTCCCAGCACACACGGGGCACACAGACCCCCAATGACACTGCCTCAGCAGTCAGAACGAGCAGAGCTCTGGGGAGCATCTGCACTCCGACACCGGCTGACACGACCACCTGGCTCTCTAGACCCCGGGCACACCCCGTGCGCTCAGAGATGCTTCCAGGTAAACAACCCCGCACTGTGACACGCAGCGTGTACGCACACAGCCACACAGGCTCGGACACAATCGCCTGAGAACGAACACGGTGGCTGCAGGGCCTCCGAACTCACGCGCATCGCCCCCGCCCCCAACCCGGCCCGAAGCGGTGCTGGGACCCCAAGCGCGCGCACTTGCAGGGAGCCACCCACCCCGTGCCCCACACGGACGCACAATGACGCTCTGCGAAACGAACGCTCCTCCAAGAGGCACCAAGGCGCCCGCGCGCTGCGCCACGCCAGGGGTCTCCGGCCGAGCCCCGCGGCTCCCTCCCGGTCCGGGTCTGCTGCAGACGCCCGGACGGCGCGCTCTCACCTACTGGTGACTCCTCGGCGGGCGGGCCAGACCCTGCGCCTCGGTCCGCGCGTCCTTCCGCCGTCCCGCGGGTCGCTGTCTGTCCCGCCGCTGCGCGTCCCAGCAGCTCAACCTCGATGGGGGGAGCGCGCGGGGCGGCGGGCAGGGAGGGGCGCGGGGCTGGCGGCGCCGCTGCCTCCCCTGCTGCCTGCGCTCCCTCCGCAGCGCCAGGCCGGCCGCTCGGCTGCAGCCCAAGCCTGACTCACGGCGGCGGCGGGCGCAGCCACCACCCCGCCTCCTCTGGCCGGCACGGTGGGGGCCGCGGGCGCCGGCCGGAAGCCGCGACCCTCGGGAATTGCAGGGCCGGCCAGCGATGGGTCCCCCCACAGCGCCCGACCCCGGTGCCCGCGCCACCCCCGTCTGCAGGGACCCCACGCCACTCCCTGACCCCTCCCTCATGCTGAGCCCCTAGGCCCTGATGGAACCATCCCCTGGCTGAGCCCTCCCTTCCGTCTACCCGAGAGAGACCCTTCCTCCTTCCGCGGTCCCCCTCCACGCCACCCCAGCTCCCAGGACTGCTGTCCGAGCCCCTTCCCCTCGGCGCTGCCCCTTCCCCGCCTGTTGAGACTCCCCAACCCCCCCGACCCGCTCTGTAGCACCTCAGTCCTTGCGCCTCTCCGGGAAGTTCCAGTACAGGTGGGGGTGTCTGAACCTCACCTAGCCCCACGGCCGCAAAGCCCCGGAGCCCCCAGCCTGTCCCCCTCACGGAACCCATCCTCCGGCCTAGCCCAGCCCCGTCTACTCTCCTGCCCCTGCACGCCCTGGCCCCTAACCAAGCCCCCTTGCAGGCCCACTTCCTTCTCTAGTCTCTCATAGCCCCCAGCTCCCCAAATGCAGCCCCTCTCAGAGCAGGGTGCACCTCAGCAGGCCCCCACCCGAGCGCCCACCTCTGCACAGTCCTGTCCCTCCCCAAGGCCCCAGCCCCCTAGGCTGCCCTCCCAGCCGGATCCTCCTAAGCCCACCAAGTCCAGGCCTTCACTGTGCCTCAGTGGCCCCCACGTGGCCTTACTCTTTCCGAGCCCACTCCCATCGGAGCTCCTGTCCCCCCTTCCCCAAATCTGACCCCCACACTCCCCCGGCCTGGAGACAGTGAGCCCCACCCTCGATAATCCAGTTCCCTCACAAAGTCCAGTCTCCGAGGCCGTGACCTCTCACGGGTTGGTCCCCTCTGCCCGTGGGGCCAGATGTCCTTCTCCAAGCCCCTAATGACACTCATCTCCTTGGAGCTCTGTCCACTCACCTACCCATGCCTCTCCAGGAGCCCTGCCTGGCCCACCTGGGCCCCCTGCTCTGCCCCCTAAGTTGCTTCCCCTAACCAGCGCCTGCCCTGCCAGCCTCAGCCCCTCTGGCCTCCATCTACCCCACCTGGCTCTCGTTTCTCTCTCATACTTGCCCCCAACTGATCTCCGCTTCCTGTGAAAGTCCCAACGTGTCCCCTCCTCGGGACTCTGAGCTCCCCACTTCGCCATGCAGGTGCCCTTTCTGAGCTGGGTCCTCTTCACCAATCCGCCAGCCCCCACCAAGCCCAGACCCTCCGAAGCCCCCAGAAGCTGCGCTGAAGTACGGCAGCCCCCGTTTCCTCCCACGTCCCCTGCCAAGCCTCCGTCCTCCTCAGAGGCCCTGTCCCTGCTCTGAGCCCTTCCTCCCAGGAAGCCCCTTTCCCTCTGAGCCTCCCAACCTGCCTCCCCTCTCTCCACCACCCTCTCTCCTCCCAGCCTGCTTCTCCTGCTCCTTCTCAGGGACCCCTTCTCTCAGAGTCCTTGTCTGTCCATGCCCAGTCCTCTGAACCCCCTTCTCTCCAGAACCTCGGTGTGCTCTGAGCCTGAGCCCTTCCTGAACCCCTGTCCCTGAACAGGACCCCCCCTCCGAGCCACGCCCCTTCCCGGCCCAGCCCCCACCCCAACCCTCACCCCCTGGCCAACCCTGGCACAGCCTCATCCATGGCTGTCAGGAACCCGCAGCACAAAGTTGGCGTTAAAGGATGTTGATAAAACCCTCTGTTGAGTGGGAGGGCTTCCCCAGCACAAGCCCTGCCCCATGTCCTGACCATGCCCTCGGCAGAGCCCAGGCCCACAGGCTTGAGGGCGGGTGGGGACCAGCGGGAGGGAAGCCAGGGTTCCATTCTCCCTCACCCGACACCCACTGTCTGCTTCCCAAGGGCCTGGCTTAGAGGCACAAGGACCCTCGTCCTTGGGCTGAGCCTGACCTAAGGTGTCCTCCCAGCCTGTGTGTGGCCTTCGAGCCACGCCATCCCAGGCATCTGAGATTGCCTTCCTGGGCCCAGCACTGTCTCGCCTGCCACTGGCTGGGCCCCCGGCTGCTCTGGGCAGGAGGCTGCAGGGGGTGGCCAATGGGGCTGGTCTGCACGCGGGTCCAACTGGTCCTCAGACAGCAGGAGAGGGGGCCTGGCCCACAGGGGCTGCTCCAGGTCACAGAGTGGAGTCAGGCCCCTCTCCTACAGACCACCATGGGGCTGCCTCTCTCCGAGGCCCCCAGAGCCCGCGTGGAGAGGTGCTTCAGCTCCCACTGGCCTCCACCCTGGACTCAGCCTGAGACCGGTGTCCTCCAGGCAGGCGCGTGGGGCAGGGAACGCCCACTGGGCTGCTGGGCTGGTGCAGAGCAGGGCCGAGCCAGCCAGGACAGAAGCCAGCGTTTGGAGCTGTCACATGCCAGTGCTGTGCCTGGTTCCACGGCCAGGAGGCCCCTGTTGTGACCCACCTCTGGAGACAGAGATGCTAGGCGCAGGGTCGGGTCAAGAGGCTGGATCTGAGCCCGGAGTCCAACTTCAGGGTCCAGAGAATCCCGACCAGTTGGACGGAGCCCTCCTGGGGGCAGCCCAGGGGAGCCACAGTGGCCCCAGGCTCTGAGCAGGAGCATCAATATCCTGATGGCCCGGAATAGGGGCTGGGGCTCGGCCTGCGCTAATCCACATAGTGCCTGGGGTGTCCCGCCGTGCTTGTCCCCGTATTCCAGAAGAGCGGACAGAGGTGCCCTCTGGGAGACCTGACAGAGCCCCCCAGCTGACAGAGGATCAGTGTGCACAGGGAACAGAACCGGGGACATGGAGCCTGAGCGCGGAGACCTCAGGGGGCGCATGGCCCCGTGACAGGCCGGCCTCCCTCTGGTGGGTGGGAGACCGAGGGAAGACAGAGCCAGGCAGTCAACAGGCCCGCAGGGGAGGGAGATACTGCCCCCTTCCTGGCCGGCCAGCTCTGCCCTCAGGGCCTCTTGGGCACAAAGGCTTTGATGACACTCTGCCCAGAAACCCTGCCAGGCCCTGCAGAGCTCTGCCCACTCCCTGCTCGTATTTCAGGCACAGAGAACACTGGGCACATGTTCATGAGCCTCCTTGCAGTTCCGGATAAACGTTCTCTGGGAAGGTGCCTGATGGAGTTCAGCACTGGGGTCAAGTTCCCAGATCCCCTAGGGCCGGGCCAAAGACCGTCACAGCCCTGCAGGCTGAGAAGGCACCAGGACGGTCACGTGCGCCATCCCCCTACACCTGCAGGGGGTGGGCTCCAAGCAGGAGCCCAGAGCTACCCACCCAGAGGGAATCCTGCCCCCCCACCAAGTGCTCACAAACTCCCATTCATCCCTTAAAACCTCCAGGCTGTGTGGCAGCATCTGGGCAAATGCTCCCGGTCCCCCCTCAACAGGCCAACCCAGCCGGGAGGTCATCATGACCTGAGGGGAGTCTTAACTCGGATTCCTGAGCCCTGTGACCCCGGGCGGACACCCCAGCATCAGCCTGGCTTGCACAAGGAGAGACTGCTTCCAGGGGCTGACAGGAGGGCCCAGACAGGAGGCAGGCTGCTCGTTCACCACCAGCCCTGTGTGGACTCCTTTCCCAGACACAAGTGGGGTGCACAGGGGGATAGGGGAACGCCAGGGCCCTGCTCCTGCTGGAACATTCTCCAGGAAAGTGCGGTGGGTGCTTGCCTGGAACACCCCCTGGAAATTGTGCCTTGGTGCCGGATCACACTGGAAATCCTGTGCTGGGCCCCACCCTGCCGCCTCTGGCTGAGGCCACATCCTACTGATCACTGCTCCAGGTCTCCATACAAGCCAGCCCCCCGCCAGCAGTGTCTCAGCCACGAGGCAGGGCAGCAAGCTATAGCCTGCGGGGTCCCATGCACAGGGCAGGGGGCCTGGTCTATGAGCCAGCCCGGGGTGCCCCCAAAGGCTCCCCCTGCCACCTGGCTGAGAGTCAGCCCTCCAGAATGACAGCATCGCACCAGCCACACCAGCCTCTTCCTCATATCCAGATTCAGAACTACCCTCCCCACCAGGCACAAAACACGCCAACACAGAAACAGAGGCTCAAACGACTGTATTTTCGTGTCAACTTGGGCTCCTGGACCCTCAGGAGGGGGAGGAGCCGTAGAGAAGACCGGCGCCAGCCCCCTCCCCTCCCCCAAAGCCCTGGGCCAGTGAATGCCCTCACCGTACACGGTCAAGCCCCGGGATGACCCCACAAGCCCACAGGGCTGGCTTTTGTCCCCTCCCCTGCTTTCAGTTCCTTCCTGCTCATCCTCAGGCCTCAGCTGGCCCTCTCCTTGAGGGGACCAGGATAAACAGACGTGCGGGCACAGCAGCGCCAGCCCTGGGCCCCAAGCTGGGCGGAGAAGCCAAGAGGACGGCCCAGCCCAGAGGCCCTGCCTAGGCAGCCAGTGCCCCGGGGCGCAGGCTGGGGCGGGAACTCCCTGGGGGCGGGGGTCCAGGCATGCACAACAAACTCACTGGCTGCCACACCAGGCCGGGTCTTTCAAGTTAGTGAAACGGCTCGGTACACTGGAGCAGCCCACTGGCTCTGCCCGGGGGCCCCAGCCCGCCATCAGACAGACAGGCAGGCAGGCGGCATTTCTGAAACCAGAGAAGGGAAAACCACAAAACAAAACAGCAGCCCTTTGGGCCAGTGGCCTCCAGAGCACCGGGCGGTGAGCAGGCGAGTGTGAGTGTGCAAGTGTGTGTGGTGAGGCGGGCCGGGAGGGTGGGGGGTGGCTGGCCTCCTCCTACTGGACTCTCGTCCTCTCTCTGCCAGTGGGCAGGGGCCGGCTAGAGCCTGGCAGCCTCGGCCAGGCCCACCCGGTTCTCCTCACGGTCGAACACGGCGTAGTAGCGGCCGATGAAAACGTCGCCCAGGATCCACAGTGGCCCGCCGGGCGGGGGGATGTCCATGCCCATGAACCCGCTCAGGCAGATGGTCCTCCCGGCCTGCGACACCTGGGACGGCCATGGTGGTCACCACTCAGCCCCGCTGCACCACCCAGGCCACTGCCCCCCAGCGTCCAGGGCCGCCCCGGCCCCCTCACCTTGAGCGTGTAGTCCTCTGAGGACAGCTTGTAGCTTCTGCCTTCCAGCTTCAGGGTGACCTCGGGGAGGCTGGACACCTTCTCACAGGGGATCATGTACTGAAGAAGGGAGGAGAGAGCAGCGTGTGCGTGGGGGACAGCAGCCTGGGGGCAGCCCGCCCGCCCGCTCGGCGCCCCCCAGCCCGCTCACCTCGCCCTGGATCAGCGGGATGGCCCCGATGGCCTTCTGTAGCTCGCGCACCTCCTCCACGGGGCCCACTATGAGGGAGGTGCCGGTGTCCACGATGGCCTCGCAGCCCCCCTTGCACAGCGTCAGGCTATTGCCCACATCCACCCTGCAGGGGAGGGGCTGTGAGTCCCCCCACCTGAGCTCCAGTGGGCCTTGGGGGGCAGGCCTACCCCACCCACAGCCCCTGAAGGATGCTGTCTCCTGTTCTTCCTCAGCACTCAGCCACGAGCAGAGCTGGGTGAAGGGGCTCGCGAGGCCAAGAGCAGGGGCACAGCCACTTGAGTAGCCATGCAGAGAGGAGGGCGCCGGCCAGAGCCTGGGCGCCAAGAGCTGGGCTGGGCGTCAGGAGGTGGCAAGAGGCAGGTAGGGCCAGAGGGCCATGGGGTCCAGGCCCGCCCCACCCCACCCCAACCCCCACAGGCCCATGGGCCGGCTGCCGCCCTCATGTGCCGCCACCCACCCCTACCCCACCGCAGAGCCAAGTGAGGGCCCCACGTCCAGTACTCACTGCTCCATGTGGATCTGCCAGTAGGCCATGCGAGTGACGTTATGATAGGACAGGGACCCCTTGTAGTACTTGGAATCGATGCCGCCCAGCATCAGCTCACCCCCCGGCTGTGCGTTTGGGTCCCTGGGAGGAAAGGGAAGGGGGGAGTCAGGGCAAGCACGAGAGCCCCCTGCCCACTCCCGCACCATGCATCCAGCCTCGGGACTGGGTGAGATTAGGCACAGGCTGGGGCCAGGAGATCAGAAGTAAGGGTGAGGGGGCAATCTCAGAAGGCCTCCCAGAACAGGGACCTTCCTGGGCCCACAGGGTGGAAGGATCCGGAAGGGGCAGAGGAAGGGATGGGACTTTCTTCTCCCCCAGGGGACAGGCTCCGATCCTACACTCTGTGTGGACTGCAGGCCAAGCCCCATCCCAGCAGAAGAAATCCTGCTCCGGCCTCCTGGTCTGCCAGCTGAAGACTGCCAGGGTTAGGCCAGCGGGCAGACAGGGAAGCAAGTGCTAGAGGCCCAAGGAGAGAGAACCTTGTCTGCCTGGAAGAATAACTGAGAGCTTCCAGGAGGAGGCATCAGGCAAACTTGAGAAGTGGAGCAGGCTGGTTCCTGCCCCAGGGCCTTTGCATTTGATGCTCCTGAGGATCATCTCTTTACACTCTCATCTAGACTTATCTTTTCAGCTCACTATCATCTTCCTGGCTGTCCCTACACTCAGAAGTACCAAGGCCGAACCCTGCCCTCCTGCCACCACCGTGGCCTCTGCCATCTCCATCTCTGCCTCTCGCTACCCCTGATATCCACATATGGAAACCAGATCTTGCATCCAGTTCCACTTCCTACCCACAGCCCTGCCCCCCAAACCCGCCCCTGTGAGTCCGTCCGCCCTCACCTCTTACCCCCACCTCCTGCCTGAGCCCGTGCCCCAGGGAGTCACAGCGCTGGGCCGTCCGTCCCCAACCCCAGGCCCAGCCGACCTCCTGGGTCCTCTTCACCTCGTCTGCCTCCCCAGGGCCCGTCGGCTCATGGGGAAACGAGCCATTCATCTGCGTGCCTGCATCTAGCAGCTGGCTTTGGCCCCAACAGCTGCTGGGGCGTGTTCACCGCTGACCAAGGAAAGGGACAGAGGGCAGCATCCACGCAGAGGCCGGGCTGAGGGCAGGGGCGGAGCAAGAGGGGAGGGCTCTGGACTGGAATTCTGCCCAAGGGGCCTAGGTGGGACCCCAAGTGCCAAGCAGGCCTTCAAGGAGAGGGGGCGTGTGGGGCGCAGTGACCAGGAGCGGCTCGGGGCAGCGCACCACCTGGCTCACACTCTGCCCACAGCCCCGCCCCTCGGCACAGCGCGTCACCCCTCCCGTCTGCTGCTCCCTCTGGGGACCTGCAGCACCGTCCTGAGACTGAGGCCCCTGCCCATGGTCACCCGGCCACAGGTCACCTACCCTTCCACAACAGGGCAGTGGCCTCTCCCTGGCTGCAAGGGGCAGCCAGCACCTACCGGGGAGGCTGGCGGAGGCCGCTCTCTACTTGGTGACCAGACCCCAGCCTCCTCAAGCAGCATCGTCCTGTGCCCTCCTCATCCAACACGGGGCGCTCGAGCCTGGGGTCACCTCCCCTGGGGAGGGCCCCGCCCCTGGCCTCCAAAGCTCCTGTCACAAATCTGGGCTCATGACCTTGTCCCCTGGGGCCAGGACCACGTCTGCCCATCACCAGACTGGGGACATCAGGCAGAGATGCAGGAGGAGGAACCGCCATGACCCCTGACCCGGCTCTGGTTCTCGTATGACGCAGGCCCAGCAACCAAGATCCCGGACCCGCAGCCGGAGCGCCTCCCGCTGGGAGACCCCAGCAAGACACAGCCTCCTCTAGGAGGCCGCCTGTTCACCTGTACAACGGCAGAGGGCAGGAACCGAGGCCTCGTGCCCGGCCGCTGGACACAAGGAGGCCGCAGCAGGACTGTGACTGGGCGGCTCCAGCCCAAGCCCCCCACCCTGCATTTCAGCATGGCTGAGCCCAGAAGGCCCGGAGGAGGGGACCAGACGCCTCCCGCCCACCTGTTCAGGTAGAAGGAGAAGACGTTCTTCTCCACCAGCTTCTGCTGCATCAGGTTATCGAAGACGGGCAGCACGTTGTTCACGGAGATGCGGGGGTAGGCCATGCCCAGGATGCCGTCGAACTTGGCCGCAATGAAGGTGATGCCTGGCTGCTTGATGGCCTCCCCGAAGGTCTGCCTCTCCACCCTGACGCCGCCCAGGGTCGACCAAGCCGCACCACAGGGCACCTGCGGGCCGAGGGGGTCAGTGGGCCACGTGGACCACCAAGCTCGACACCTGGGTCCCATGTGGGCCGTCGCCTGCCGTCTCTGTGTGGGCGGCCACAGTACAAAACCCAGCTCGGTCTTCGCCCATCACTTCGCACAAAGGGGCTCGATGTGTGGGCAGAGGGCCCAGGGGAAAGGGCTGGTGACACTGGACCGAAACACAGCTGGGGACAGCTGGGGTCGGGGCTGTGGGGACAGGGCTTCGGAGGTCTGTACTCTTTGTCAGGACTGTTTTAACAAGAGACAGAAACGGAGGAGCGAGCGCAGAGGGCTGGCTCCTTGCCAAGCTCCGGCCCTCTTGCCCCAGCGCCCTCCCCACCCAGGCCTGCTCCTGCCCTTGGGCTGGGCTGGGGAGAGTGAGGAACCTTGTGACCCAACCCAGCTCAGGCTGGAGGCCACACAGCCCCCTCCCCCAACGCGGGCGGCTGAGGCTGCAGACAGACCAAGACCACCAGCAGGATGTGGGGAAAAAGTGGCTCTTTGGGGCTGACACCAGGAGGAGGGGGCATGTTGGGCAACATCCTGTCTCAGGCCCAGAGACAACCCGGAGGCGGAGCCCCCCAGATAAACCTGGCAGGAAGATGGGGGGGGGGCGGGGCAGTGGCTGCAGGCAGCTACAGCGCCCCGTCTCCTGACCCACCGGGACGGTCAGAAATGGTCCCCACTGGAGGAAGGGTCTTTCCTCCCAGACCCCTGGCCCTGCGGGAGGTTTTGCTGCCTTCCTGTCTCGCCTGGGGCTGGGAGAGGACCATCTTCCACTTTGCACCACGTCCCCCCAAAACTCGCAGCCCAGGCCTCTGCTGTGGCCTGGCACCAGGCAGCTTCCGGCCACGTGATCGTGGGCAGAACCGTCAAGGGCCTGCTCAGCCCGCCTGGGGGAGGACAGCTCGTCCTGCATGCTGCCCCCGAGATGCTCCACCACAGGCACAGCCCTGGACTGCCGTCCCCGGCTGCTCCCTCCCCTTCCTGGTGTTCCCTGCAGGTGCCCCTCTGCCAGCAGCCCCAGGGGAAACATCTCTGCCCTCCCTGACTGGTCCAGGCCCGGTCCCCAACCCAGGCCCCCGTCCTCAGGCCTGGCCCTGAGCACCGAGCTGGCAACTCAAACCCAACGTGTCAGAACGGAACCCAATCCTCCCACCGCTCTTCCGCCAGGAGCCTGGGAGGCAGCCTCCCCAGTCATCGCTCGCCAGGTCCTGGTCCCAGACCTGCGCCGTCGCTCTGCACCCATGCCTCAGGGACTATGCGGGTGTTCAAATCCTCACTGCACTGGCTGCTCCCTGCCCCGCTGTCCCCTTCCAACCCTCCTGGCTGTCCCCAGCTTGCACACATGGCCAGAGCTGCCCCCTACCCCGTCTCCTTCTCACTCTGTTTCTGCACTGCCCCGCACACTGGGCTCTTTTCGCCTCCCGGTCTCTGCTCAACCTGTGCACCCGCCCAGCAAGCCAGCCCGTGCGCCTCACTCAGCTGACTGCCAAACAGCACCTCCGGGGAGCTGGCCCAGACCCTTCCCTACCCTGGGGTGGGGCTGGGGGTCACTGAGCCCTCTCGTCCCATCACACGTGGGGGAGAATCTCCCACCACGATAAGCGCCCCGGCCCCGGGAGCAGCCCCACGACAGACTCACCGACACGGTGTCCTGGCTCAGGTACCCGGAGAGGCTGCCCGAGCCGTAGTGGATGTTGAAGGAGGTGCCGTTCTTCACGTAGGTGCTGGACTTGTCGCTATTGTACTTGTGGTGGATCCCTGCGCCAGCAGGGGACCCGTCAGCCTGCCGCCCCGCTGCGGCCTCTGACCTCTGACCCCCCACCCCACGCCAGGCCCCCAGCCACCTACTGCAGAGCCCGCCCACCAAGCTGCCCTCCCAGGGTCGGGATCGCCCGTGACCCCCACCCTGGGTGTCGGCCCAGTGGGCGGTCTGGCCCACGGCTTGCTCCATCCTCGGCCACCACGGTCCCAGCCCGGATGAGGGCAAGGCTGGCAGGAACAGGCCTGCCCAGAAAACAAGGTGCTCTGGGGCAGGGCGGAGGAGCTGGGCCCTCTGGTGTGGCCGAGAGATGGGAGCAGCGCATTGCCCAAGAGCTGAGCAGGCAGGGCCGCGGAAGGTGGAGGCCTGCTCTCCTTGGTGGCGGCCAGCCCACAGCTACAGCCCAGAACGGAGGACAGGGGCCGAGGCTGGCGGCAGGCCCCCAGTGCCCACAGGGAGAGCATGTGCGTGCACGTGGGGTGGACGGAGGGCTGTGCGCCCCACTCCAGGGCCCGTGTCCTCTCTGCCCGCTCCCGCATCCTCACAGGCAAGGGCGGGGCCGGCCCCCTCGGTCTCTTTCCACCACATGGGAGAGGGGTGCACTGGGCAGGACAGACAGGGCTGTGACTTACAGCAGGCGATGTCCAGCAGTTTGCAGTGGATCGAGGGGACCCACAGGTTGGAGGAGCCGGTGTCGAAGACCACCGTGAAGCACTGTGGGGGCGTCCCGATGCCGATTTCCCCATAGTATTGGGCCTGGTGGGGAACAGGGGCTGTCAGGGTCGGGGAAGGGGGCCCACCTCCCCACTGGGCCTGAGAGAAGGCCACTGCTGTCCTGGGAGCCAGGTCTTCGAGGCCAGAGGAGGGGCACCAGAGTCTAGACCTGCTGTCACGGCATCCACCTCCACCTGCCATTGATCCTCAGACCCACGGGCACTTCGGGTCCCCGGGCCCTTGGGCACAGCCCAGCCCTGCCTGACCACGGTGACACTGGGCTCCCATCTCAAAGATGACAACAGTAGTGGAGTCAGTGTCGGGACAGGCTCCGCCCTTGGTCTGAGCTTCAGGTGTGGGAAGTGCCCGCCGGGAAGACCCTCTGCAGTGCAGGGGTCCAGGGCCCCGGAAGGGCAGAGACTCCCTCCCCAGGACGGGGGCCAAGTCAGGGCCTGACTCTGGGGCCTCAGTTCCTACCCTGCGCCTGCCCCTCAGGGTCAAGTCTTGGGGGCTCCCAAGTAGAGGGGGTCCAGGCAGCCCAGGGGAGGCTGACGGTGCTGGCTCAGAGACCCTCAGGGCCCAGCCACTCTGCCATCTGTGCTCTGGGCCTCAGTTTCCCCACCCGTAAACAAGGGCAGCAGGGGTAATCTGGGGGAAGCCAGGTGCTCAGGTGAGCCTGAGGGGCACGTGCCCCTCTGAGCCTCAAAGCAAAACCCCACCCTTGGCCCTCTCATGGGTCAGAGGGTGTGGTGTTCTTGAGTTTGGGGGCATCTGGGCCTTGCCTGATGGGACACCCTCTTGCTCTAGGAGGGAACTTGGGCCACTGGTCACCACAGGGTTCTGGCTCCAATCCCTCTGGTCATTTCTCTCTGGCCACCTGGCTCTAGGAAACACCAACAGCTGCTGACTCATGACCCAACAGTGTCCAGGTTGGGGGGGGGGATGACTCAGCAAATCTCCGTGCGCGCACACATGCGCGCATGTGTGTGTGTTTGTGTGTGAGAGACAGAACTGATCAGTCAAGCCGAGGGCAGACAGCCCCCCTCCACCAGGCTGGTCACATGCCTGTGAGGCCACAGCTTCCTGAAACGGCTGGGGCTCTGGCCAGACAGGACAGAGGGCACAGGCACCTGTCCCAACCTCAGGTAGACCAGAGGCTGGATGGCAGGCAGGGGCTGGCTCCCTGCGATTCGGGGGCAGGAGATGCAGAGAGGACGTCCCCTGGGTATCCCCAGGGGTGCCAGGCTGGGGCCCAAACCTGTCCCCAGCTTGCTGTGTGGCTTTTAGAATGTTCCACCTCTGAGCCTGTTTCCCACTCAAGGAGCAGCATGCATGATCAGACCTGGCTGCTGACCCAAGAGGAAGAAAGTGAATGGGGGCAGGGAGTGTTACGGGTTGCCCCAGGCCTTCGGGTAGGACGGGCAAGGACACAGAAACTCCAGGGAGATTAGTCACGACCGGGCAGGCAGGCCCAGAAGGACCCCTAAGAGTCCCCCACCCCACAGCCTTTCAGGGTGGGCCTAGGCCTGATTCCAGGCTCCTCCACACCCAGCTGATGGTCCTGGGCCCAGCTCCCTCATCTGTAGAGAGTGACACTGTCCCCCACTCCCCAGGCTGGCCTGAGGACGAGACACCTGCCCAGCTCTGAGCCAACAGTGACATGCAGCGGGAGATGTCACAGACATGCCAAGGACACCCCAACCCTCCCTCTCACAACCCCAGAAGGACCAGGACCAGCACCAGCAGGGGAGCCTGGAGTGCAAACCCAGCAGGAGGTCTGAGTCCTCCATCTGGGACTTGGGCGGGCCGGGGGGCGTGGCTGAGCAGAAGACCCGCCCCCCACAGGTGAGGCACTCAAAACCACTGGCTGCTGAGAACAACAGAACTTCACTACATCACCTGCCGGCCCACCCAGAACTTTTCTCAAAGGCCAGCCCATCTACATCAGTGCTCGCGGCCAACCCAGTCCCCCCAAGCTGACCCCCACACTCACGTCCATGTAGTTCTTGAGCAACTCTGGAATGGGCCCGCCGGTCACACCAGGTGCCCCCTGCGAGTATTTTGACATGGGACCCTTCGCGATCAGGCCTTCCACGGGGCCCCCCGCCTCTGAAATGGTCCGGCGGATGGACTTGAACTTGTGCAGTGGGATTCTGTCGAGAGGAGGGACCAGGGCTTGTTAGGGGGGCTCGAATCCACCTCCTACCTGGACCCGCACCCACGTCCCCACATCCAAGCCTGCCCCTCCCCCTCCTCAGCCACCAGGGGTCTCCTGGCCCCACTCTGGGCCCGCTCTACTCTCTTCTGTGATGGTGGCCAGTGGGGTCTGTTAGAGGCACCTGCCACCCCTGTCCAAAGCCCTCCGAGCCATCCCATTCACCTGGCCCTCTGGCCGCATCTGCTGCTGTCACCCAGATCCCACGCAGAGACAGTCCCCACCTCCCCTGTCTGACCTCTCCGGTGGCCACCTCCTGGTCATCAGATGGGACTGCAATGCCATCCCCTCTGAGAAGCCCTCCCTGACCACCCCTGCTTGCCCTTCACACGACCTGGTTTCCTTCCAGGGCCCTCACCCCCACTGCTGTGAACTGGGTCATTTCCTGCTCATCTGTCCCTCTCCCCACCCTGACACAGACCTGGGGAGGGCAAGGGCCGCAGCTGGAGTGCCGGGGGTCTGCTTTCAGGCCTGCCTCCCCCAAAGCGTGCCCCACGGTGCCCCTGCTCAGGGCACACTTCACAGGAGCCGCTGCCTCCAGCGCACACACCCAGCCTGGGTGGCCCTCGTGGTCTGAGCTGGCGGGAGAGAGCACGGGGCTGGGGTCAAGGGTCCTGGTTCTGTTGGGCACAGGGTCCACCATCAGAAAGCGGACTGAGCGAGGGGCCCCCTGTGTCTGAGCTGCGCCCTGCTCCCATGGTCCAGGAGGCGGGAGGGACAGGAGAACACATCTGAGCAAACTCAACCACTTGGATGAAATGTCTTCCCAGCCCTGGGGATCAGAGTTCAAGGTCACGGCTGGCTTTTCTAGGCAAGCCAAGAGCATGCTCCAGGAAAACAGGACTCTCGCCTAAGAGCTGGCAGGCTAGAGACCGCGAGGTCATTCCCAGGAGAGGAGGAACACGCCCTCCAGTAACCAAAGAAACAGGTGCCATCAGTCCCACAGGAGCACAGAGGAGCGGCACCGCCCAAGAAGCCCCAGGTCCCTTCCCCACTGCCATCCGTCCCCGG